ATATATACATATACATATATATATATATATATATATATATATATATATATATATATATATATATATATATATATATATATATATATATATATATATATATATATAATAGTCTAAATTTGAACATCTTAATATGAACATTACCTTAGAAATATTATGTAAATTTTACTAGTAATTCGTTAATTCAGTACTCGTTAATTCAGTTGTATAACTGCAAGAGAGTTTTAATAAACATCAATAATTACTAGATCGACGCTCTACCATGCAACTGAGCTACACGGTATATATATATATATATAGCTTAAGATTTTGGTTTACGAGACACAAACAGTGCTCAATACCATGTAGATAGAGCGTAATATAGTTTTTCGTTTTACCTCAAAAAACCACAACAGTCTGTTTCATCCGTATAGGAATCATCAGGTGGTGAATAATTTCGAAATTGTAGGTTGCTTTTATGCTATCGAAAGAATGTGCAGAATGCGTGTAGGCGAAACAATGCTTAGGTGAAACAATGCATGCTTGGGTCATTAGGTTTTGTTAACGACCTTGTTTACTCGAAACCGGTTTTTGTGACGACGTTTGCCGAAAATTTCGCTTCTTTTATTGAGTAAATTGTCTTTGTTTATGTCTTTCAAAATGCAAAATTTTTCTTCCAAACATAAATTGCAGCGTTTTGATCCCCCTGTGTACGAAATAGCGTGTTTTAAAATTGAACATTTGATGGTATAATCCTGATTGTTTTCTTTTAATTTCCAAATATGTTTCGAAAGTTCCGTTTTGTTTGAGTCTTTTTTATGACGAAAAGATGAAGTGTGGTTAGCGTAACGTTCCTTAAATGTAGTCGCTGTCATACCAGTGTAGTGTTTAGTGTCGTTCGTGTTGTTCGTTGTGACTGTTGCTTTGTAAATAATGTTGTTGGTCATGCATTGTTTCGGTAGTGGGCAAGTGTTTTTGTTGTCGCAGTTACAGTTGTCAGTTTCCGTATTCTGTGATTGACTGTTCCTAATTATATGTGCGTTGTGTTTGGTGATTATAGACTTAACGTTGTTCATGCAACTGTAGCTTACTTTTAAAGTGTTTCTGTTAAAAATCTTGTGTAGTTTGTGCTGTAGCGGGAAGTGTTTGTCAATTAAACTTAAGAATTCCCGTCCTATGTTCGTGTTAACACTCTTACTAAATGGTGGGTTGAACCAAATTATGTTACGTTGCCCATTCCTACGAGTCCGTTGCGGTGCATTCTGAGTGTACGTAAATTCATGATCAAAGTTACTATGTGTAAGAGCGTTCTGGTAAATAGATGTGGATTCCTTAAATGTTTGTTCGTCCGATGAGAGAAGTGCAATGCGTTTGTTGATAGCTGTAGGTAATTGTCTTGTAATGCTTGGTGGATGGTTTGAGTGTCTGTGGATGTACAATGGATCGTCATTGGGTTTCCTGTATGGTTTGTGTTTTGCGTTGATCAGGTCGAAAGTAACATCTAAAAAATTTACAACGTTCATATTTACTTCGGCGGTGATTTTAAGGTCAAATTGCTCGAAAATTTTGTGTAGCTCTTTTCTAGTTTTGTCTAGTAAACGGGCGGATTTGCTTTTTATAATAGCCAAACCATCATCTATATAAAGTCCGATGTTTTCCTTGCCAAACCTCTTACCTAAGTGATTTAAAATGAAAAGGCCTACCAGCTCACAAATTTCAGCGCCGTCGAAACTACCCATAGTGACGTCAAATAAACTGTTGCTTCCGTCTTTTTTTGTCCATAATTTGCCGTTGCCGAAAAGTAGAGATTTTCTTGCATGTTTTATTATTGAAATATCGTTTTCGGTAATAGTAGTCAAATCCGAAGCCCAGGCCAATGCTTCATTTAAAAGTTTTTCGGAAATAGATGGGTAAAAATCCACAATATCAAATGAAATAAAAGCATTTATATCTTTAAAAGATCACAAAGAAAATTTCGAAAACAATCCAAAATGCCGACTAATTAATCCCGCAAAAAGCGAATCCGGAAAACTAAGTAAGGTTATTTTAGATAAAATTAATTCCAATTTGAGACAAAAAACTAAATTCAAATCAATGGAGAAATACGCAACAAGTAATTTCATGGTTTGGCAATATAAACGATAAAGACAGGCACAGTTTTATTTCATTTGATATTGTGGATTTTTACCCATCTATTTCCGAAAAACTTTTAAATGAAGCATTGGCCTGGGCTTCGGATTTGACTACTATTACCGAAAACGATATTTCAATAATAAAACATGCAAGAAAATCTCTACTTTTCGGCAACGGCAAATTATGGACAAAAAAAGACGGAAGCAACAGTTTATTTGACGTCACTATGGGTAGTTTCGACGGCGCTGAAATTTGTGAGCTGGTAGGCCTTTTCATTTTAAATCACTTAGGTAAGAGGTTTGGCAAGGAAAACATCGGACTTTATAGAGATGATGGTTTGGCTATTATAAAAAGCAAATCCGCCCGTTTACTAGACAAAACTAGAAAAGAGCTACACAAAATTTTCGAGCAATTTGACCTTAAAATCACCGCCGAAGTAAATATGAACGTTGTAAATTTTTAGATGTTACTTTCGACCTGATCAACGCAAAACACAAACCATACAGGAAACCCAATGACGATCCATTGTACATCCACAGACACTCAAACCATCCACCAAGCATTACAAGACAATTACCTACAGCTATCAACAAACGCATTGCACTTCTCTCATCGGATGAACAAACATTTAAGGAATCCACACCTATTTACCAGAACGCTCTTACACATAGTAACTTTGATCATGAATTTACGTACACTGAGAATGCACCGCAACGGACACGTAGGAATAGGCAACGCAACATAATTTGGTTCAACCCACCATTTAGTAAGAGTGTTAACACGAACATAGGACGGGAATTCTTAAGTTTAATTGACAAACACTTCCCGCTACAGCACAAACTACACAAGATTTTTAACAGAAACACTTTAAAAGTAAGCTACAGTTGCATGAACAACGTTAAGTCTATAATCACCAAACACAACGCACATATAATGAGGAACAGTCAATCACAGAATACGGAAACTGACAACTGTAACTGCGACAACAAAAACACTTGCCCACTACCGAAACAATGCATGACCAACAACATTATTTACAAAGCAACAGTCACAACGAACAACACGAACGACACTAAACACTACATTGGTATGACAGCGACTACATTTAAGGAACGTTACGCTAACCACACTTCATCTTTTCGTCATAAAAAAGACTCAAACAAAACGGAACTTTCGAAACATATTTGGAAATTAAAAGAAAACAATCAGGATTATACCATCAAATGGTCAATTTTAAAACACGCTATTTCGTACACAGGGGGATCAAAACGCTGCAATTTATGTTTGGAAGAAAAATTTTGCATTTTGAAAGACATAAACAAAGACAATTTACTCAATAAAAGAAGCGAAATTTTCGGCAAATGTCGTCACAAAAACCGGTTTTGAGTAAACAAGGTCGTTAACAAAACCTAATGACCCAAGCATGCATTGTTTCACCTAAGCATTGTTTCGCCTACACGCATTCCGCACATTCTTTCGATAGCATAAAAGCAACCTACACTTTCGAAATTATTCACCACCTGATGATTCCTATACGGATGAAACAGACTGTTGTGGTTTTTTGAGGTAAAACGAAAAACTATATTACGCTCTATCTATATGGTATTGAGCACTGTTTGTGTTTCGTAAACCAAAATCTTAAGCTATACATATATATATATATATACCAAACAACTTTTTGTTGGATATAAACACGTAGTTGTAAGCCGCTACTTATTGGTAATAACTTTGAGATTGTAGTTGAGACGAGAAATACTTGAGAAGTTACTACAGCCTCGGAGATTAGCCTTCCTCCCGCTCGGTTATATCTACCATTTGGGCGGTCTGCCTTTCCCAATCCTGGAGGTGGAAGCACCGCAAAATGCGACTTATTATTGTAGGTGTGTGTACAATGGTAAATTTACAGTTAAAACTTTGAAAAGTCGCCATTGTTATAATTATCTACAGTACCGCCAAATGTAACCTGAGTATCAGGCCGTACTTTTTAGGGCACAGGCACGCCTGATCGTGGGCGAAGGGGAGAAAAGTACGGCCTGACACAAAAGTGGCATTTTGCCTGGTTGTTCAGTCCAGAATCTGGACTGAGCGCTGATTGGCCGATTAGACAAACGATTTTTAAATCTGTCATTTGATTGGCTGGTGCTAATTAGATTATACTATTGTTGTTGATATATTTTATAACGATCACAATTCACAACTACAATTATAGCCGGCCCACTAAACGGTTGAATTTAAATTAAAACTGCAGTAAAATTAGAAAATAATCGCAAATTGGCGAAATATATTGCAAATGTAGCTTATATTAAATCGCCATCAGATTGCACTATCGACTGACGTATAGTTATAAAGTATACTTTATAATTATACGTCAGTTTGTTGATAAATACGGCAAGCGCCATGTAAAGCTCATTGTAGTCACTGAAACCTCTGCGGAGGAGAGAGCAAACGGGTGGCGATTTAATATAAGCTACATTTGCAATATATTTCGCTAATTTGTGATTATTTTTGTTAATTTTATAAGTTCATTGCAGTTTTAATTTAAATTCAGCCGTTTAGTGGGCTGCCTATGCTATAATTAGATTGTTGTTGTCGTTGTGTGAAATTTAAATTTCTCCTGCGACATTTTGATTGGATACTAAATATAAACTTTGCTGTGGGCGGAAAGCGATCAGGTTAAGTTTTGTGTCAGGCTCTATTTGTAAAATAGAGCCTGATACTCAGGTTACGCCAAATGGTGGTTTTGGCCCTCGTGAGAAAGGGAAATTGTCAGTAAACAATATACATGTAGAAATAATGCAATGGTAGAAATGGAATTTCCGAGGCCATTAGAAGGGTGGGAGCAACAAGAGTAAAATTATAACTATAAATAAATTTGAATGCTTTCATTTACAGAGCAAGGGACTTGGCGTGAATGCAGCAACGTCGAAGAACACAAGTGTGCGATTGGAAAATGATGCTGAAAATCAGAAAAAAAGGATTCCAGAATTGAGAAACTGGTTAGAGAGACTAGAAGAGCTTATAAAGCAGATACGTGATAACTTCGACCAGGCGAACACCACATTAACTGAAGTGAAAAAACCTTTCCCCAGGTTTGAGGACTTAACATCCATGCTAGGTAAGTGTTTTTATGTTTTGCATCCATACGTCCTTTTTTTATACCAGTCTTAACTGTTGGAATATTATGACTGAAAGTAATGAGCTTTTTAGCCTCATTAACTATGATTTTGATGGCGTCATATGTGGGGATAGCCTAGTGCACTCTAAGTAAACTGGAGCGATAACTCGAGTGATCAAGTCTATGATTGGTTGAAGCCAAATTTGAAACCAAACAAGGGAGCCGCGCGGGATAAATTAACTTTTAAAAGGACTAGGGAGAGTTTCGAGAAGCGAGGAATTCAGTCAAAAGTTTGTTTTTGAGCGAAAATTAGCAAGAAAAAGTACTTTTTATCAAAAGGCTCCAATTTTAAAAATTCAAACCTGCTTTCCTTGATAGTTCTAAGTATTTTACATCCACTAACAGCAAAACGTTCCTTGATAAACAGTTTCCTATTCAAAATATTACACAAGTTTGAACGTGCCGAAAAAACTTCGCACTCTAGAAACATGTTTTGTATTAAATTTCAAGTATTGTTGAAAGTTTTTAGCTTTTTTCCTTGTTGAAATGCAGCTGTGACCGAGTAAGGTTGTTTAAATGCTTCTATTCAATTGACAATTTGAAATAGCCATACAAGCAGGAATTTTGGTTCATATTGATCACTGGCTGTCAATTAAAAAATGTGCGGAGCCCACTTTTGACGTAACATACACATCTGAATAGTCCAAGATGGCGGCCAGCTCCCTGTTTGTTTTATTAAAATTATCACAAATATTTGAATCAAGCAAGATATGAAAAGGCTGTAAAAAGTCTTTATTAATTATTTTAGAAGTTCTTTCAAAAGAGACTAACTAAATTTTTAACTTGTCCGTGTTCGACATCGTAAATAGGTAGTCCGAACACGGATAAAAACACCACCGGAAATTCACAAAAAAAAATACGACCATATCGATGAGCATTCACTGCATGATATTGTGAGCTCCGTCAAGAATTTCTCCGCGATTTTTGGTTTGCTCAGTGAGGCTCAGATTTTAAGTTTCAACAGCTCCTAATTTTGCATGAGTCACCTAATATATTTTAATCTCGAAACTCTAGCTATAAATCGAAAACTTGGCGAAGACTAAATATTACAAAAAAAATCGAAGACTATATATTAGTATAGGTAATAGCATGGTTTCGAGTGCAATTTGGATATAACATGCACGGGTGAGTCGAAGGACGAGTGCGAAGGACGAGTGCTATTTGAGGTCTTTGAAAAACTCACGAGTGCATGTTTATCCAAATTTCACGAGAAACCATGCTATTACTCATTAGTAATTTACATAAAAATGTTCGAGACAATTGTAGTTTTAACTTACGCGTTTATAGCGAACATCCACTGGCAAAGTTTTCCTGGCTTTGTTATATCGCATTATACAGGGTGTATAAAAAAAAAGGTAATCGAACTTCAGCGCGCTATTATACGTGAATTACTTTGCGTATGAACAATTGGTTTTTATATTCTGAAAGATCAGGCTTTTAGCTATTGAATGACATGCTTTTTATGCCAAGTGGAGAAAAAATAAGCGTGTACGAGGCCGATTAAAAATGTTAGTCAAAATCGCATATTTTCACCTCTGTGCCAATTAAAACAATGCATAACAAAACAAAAAGCAATTAATCACGAACGTGTCGTAGCTTATTCCTACTTAATGATAATTATGAATATGTGTGCACTTTAATGAAGTGAAATTCATCAACTTAAGTCCCAAAGGGGGTTCACTTTCAATGGTTTTAGACTTAACTCTCAACGGTGAAAATATGCGATTCTGACTAAGATTTTTTATCGGACTCGTATTTGTTCATTTTTTATCCATTTGACATGAAGAAGATATCATTCAACAGCTAAAAGCATGATCTTTCCGAATGTGAAAAAATCTCGTTCATACGCAGAGTAATTCAGATAGAATAGCGGGCTGAAGTTCGATTACCTTTTTTTTATACACCCTGTACAACGCTAAAAGCTTGAAAATTCCACTCAACTATGTGTATTATTACAATAATTTAGCAGGTTTCATCATTAATATTGAGTACACGTCAGCGTGAACATTTTATGAGTTCAGTTTGAGATGAGCTAGGTCATCGTAGCTCTCTAACGAAAAAAATAATATTACTAACGTCGAGAAGACAAACTTTCCCGCGCTTTTATAATTTTAATCAAAACTGGTAGAAAAAAACTGTATTAAAGTCCCGAATTATTTTCATTACTCTGTCATATTGCTTGTCGTATGTTTGAAATTGACAAAACATCTGAAAAGGGTTGAAAAACCATGAAAAAAGCCACGATTCGCAACTGCCCAATAGGTTCCTGTCCAATATCGTAAAATATTGGATCGGCACGTGACCCTCTCAACGATTACTGATTGGTTAAGCGCGCGTGAGTGTATAATAAGATCAAATGCGCTTTACATCAAGTACTATGCTTACTTATTTACATACACGGCTAAAAACGCACAAGTTGTTCCAAGTTGATATCGACAGGCGTGAACAATGTTGTGCGGCCAACTATGAACAAGTTGTCAACCATGTTGTTCCAAGTTGTTACAGTTGAACAATGCTGTAACAACATGTTAAAAATAAGTTCTTTGTACGTTTGCATGGCGATAAAACATATAATAGTTTTGTTTGTGGAAACACCACGTAAATTACGGATCGAAAGCTTTGCAGTAATAAATTTACGTGGTGTTTCCACAAACAAAACTATTATATGTTAACAATACTGTTCATAGTGGGCCGCACAACCATGTTCACGCCTGTTGATATCAACCTGGAACAAGTTGTTGATCTTCTCAATTTTTGCGCGTGTAATGAGGTTATTGAAAAGTTTACAGCGACTGGAAAATCGTTATGTATTATGGGAGATTTTAATCTGGATTTATTAAAAATTGAAAGCTCTTGTTATAGCCGAGATTTCTTTTTATCTTTGCAAAGTTGTTACCTCATTCCCTCCATTGATAAGCCTACTCGGGTTTATAATAATTCTGCAACATTGATAGACAATATTTTTATAAATATGCCGGAACGAGTAACAATTAGTGGGAATATAATTTCTGATATAACTGATCATTTCTCTCAATTCTGTATTTTTAAATCAACTAAAGATAAAATAGAAATACCAATAAAGCAACAACGACGTGATTTTTCCCAATTTTCTGCTGTTAATTTTAACAATGAGTTGTCTCTCACAGATTGGGATGAAATATTCCTAAAAGGGGATAGGGATATTGATAAAACATTTTGCTTTATTTATAAAAGAATTAATGCGATACTGAATAAACACGCACCAATCAAACTGATATCGCGTCGTCAAGCTAAACGGCTCTCGAAACCTTGGATTACTAAAGGAATAAGAACAGCTATTA